AAACAGGAGTGTAAGTAGCAAAGGACACGGCAATTGCTATACAAAGAAGTTGTTGTCAAGCTGAATCTTTTACAACTTATATAATGAAAATTTATGTTTTTCATCTTAGAAGTTTGTAAATGCAATATGAAGTCACCTCAACAGAAATACAGATGTGTCCAGTAATAATAGAGAATAACTAAGCTATGTGATGTAAAGGAGTTGTAGCTAAAGTCTTTAGAAGGACCTCCTCTTCCGCCTGTTCTTGTAGTATTTTCACATAAATATTGTGCACCTGTGTAGTAATGTAAGTAAAATTATATGTTGAATATTTGTATTTACCACGTTGGTGTCTGAACAGCATTAAAGCAGTTCCTTAATTGGCCTTTCTGCAATCAGATAAGCCTACTGTGGCTTGAAGGCACTGCAGCGTTTCTGACACATCACTATTATTTTAACTTCTGCATCATCTCCTGGTAGGTACTACCTGGGGCCGCCTACCTCACAGCTCAAACAATTTTCTTATACTAAATGGCTTCTGGCATTGTGTGAGGCACAATAGAATGACTAATAGGTGTCCTAATGGAGTCTTTAGCGTTCTTAATTCTGTCACAAGTCAAGTAAGGGAAAGTTTTGCCAGGCCATTTTTGGGCAGTTTAGATCTCGCTTCCAATATTTTCTTAGTGCTGAGGAGAAAAATTGGAAAAAGCAAACAAACAAACAAACAAAAACCAACCCAAAACTCTTTGTCTTCCTAATTTTTTAATTTAAAAAAAAAAAAGTCTCAAGTTTTCTATGCAGATTTGACGAGAAGTTACCTAGTGTTCCATTAGTACTTGGAAGATTATAGGCAGCAGAGATTTAGCAAGGGATTAGTCAATTGGAGAATGTGCATTATCCGGCCAGGCTTAGGACCGTGATTGTCTCTTCAATCATTTTCATTAGTGTCTTATTCAAAGATCGAATTATGTAACAATGACGTTTCAGGGGAATCCGGTAGGAGTTTTTCTTTGTTTTGTTGTTGTTTTTTTTTTCCTCTCTTGCTAACTCTGGAAGAGAGGGAGAAAACATTATTTCTATGCTTTGAACTTGCAGCATGTTTTGAAAAACGGCAGTTCAGATAAGTGAAGAACCATGACTTCAGCTGCAGAATCTGCATTTGGAGGATACCTTAGCTGCTGAGAGAGGCAGGATGCGCTACAAGAAATATATTACTATTTTAGAAGCAGCAATAGGAATCACTCCCCTTAACAAGAGGGAGCTGCTTCCTGAGGGTAGACATGCAAACCTGTGGCAACATCCAGGGTAAGTGTGAAAATGTTGTCAGGGAAAAACAAAAGGAAAACCTGTGTTCATCTTGCAATTTGAAAACTTTTCATTAGGGAAGAAGTGTGTTGTTCAGACAGGTAATCTTTTTTCCATACCTTCAGTACAGTCTGTCTCCTGCAAGTGTAGTAAATCATGGTTTTCTTAGAGATTTCTGTGTACCTTTTTCTCCCTGGCTACCAGAATAATCAGATGTTCTTCCTAAGGGAGGTATTTGCTCAAGAACAGAATGAAAATGAAATAGTTGCTGTTTTACGTTTGTTGCTTTTACTGCTGAATCTGCTACGTGTGTGTCTGTCCACTCCCCAGACTGCCCTTTTTGAGAAAATACATACTCTACTTTTATCCATGGGAGAACTAGCAGTTTCTAAAAGTGGAAGAGAAACATACTTTTCCACACGTGTGCATCTTTCCTTCTCTGCTACAAAGCAAGAGTTCCTCATACGTAGAAATACTGCTTTTTCCTGAAGGGAAGTTTTAGTTATTAAAAGATAAATTAGCGAAGACTACTAAATATTCAAACTATGAAATGCAGAGCATTCTGTTTTGTTTAAGAGTAATACAGAATGCTCCCCTCTGCTGTATAGCTCAATATTAGATTTCAGAAAGCCTTGTTCATTGGTGTTGCCCTCAAAAACTAATAGCCTGAAAAGGACGCTGATCATTTTTCTGCCCCTCTACCAGTAGCCTCAATGGATGGTCATCTTCACAGCCCTCTGGTCCTTCACCGTCCAGTTCTGTGTTAGAATGTCGCTTGGTTTCAGACGTAGCACAGAATGTGTGAGGCTTTTGTTCATGGGTAATGGTTAGACACGTTTCTACTGGCTCAGGTTAGTTTTGTGTAAACAAGACTTCAAAGTGAAGATTGAAGTAAAATGTGAATATTAATCTATGACTGATGCACATTTACTCTGTAATTTTTTCTGCAAAAGCACTTCTTCTAATGGTGGCAGTGAAAACAACTCCAACCCAAAGCACAGGATGATTTTTCAGTTGTGCCACCCAGCCCATAACAAGTAGTCTAGCCGTTGCATCAATGCCAGCAGTTTCCAGACTTACCAGCATTAATTCTGCAAGTTTTTCCTATGTTTCTGATATTATACTGAAGAGCAATTGGTGTTGCTGTTGCTGAACTTTGCCTGTTAAAAGGGATTCTTAGTGCAATGTATTTGGACATGGGACAGTGTAATGTCCTAGACTGTGACTTTCTTTGATTGTTCGTGTATGTTATCTACAAGCCACTCTCTTTGAATTTTGCAGCCATTCCTTATATGCTGACAGAAGACTTCTGTGATTGCTCTCGAAGCATTGAGGAATTGTGTTGGAAAGCACTGGTGTATTCTTGCCGAATTCCTCTTTGTTTTCAAGGAGGCTTGTTTGGCCAGAGATGCAGCTTGAAACAAGCAGTCCAAAATGAAAGTACCTAGCTGCAGCTTCCATTATTTTCTGTTTGGTGACTCAAACGTGGCTGCTTAGCTTTCATCTACTACTGAGTATCGGTATAAAAGAGATGATTTCCAGTGTTCTTAATCAGGCATCTCCCTCCTTTCACAGAGATTTAGTTGATACAATTGTTGTATACACTTGAAATTCCAAGCTGTTTAAGATGCATTTGGATTACATCTGGATTTGCTATTCTGACTGCTTCACAAAAGCAGAAAAGCTGTTGTCATTGGACTGAGGTGGGGATCCTGTTGTATTTTCACTGAGTACTGGTAACCAATAATTGCTGTAACGTAAAAGAAGTTCAAGAAAGAAAATAAACACTGATTTTTTTTTTCATAGTTGTGGGTGGCTTATTCTGTGCAAAAGGAATAAGCAAATTAATAACTCAATTTGTTAACATCAGTTTATCACTCAACTTCCGTCAGGTTCACATCAGGAAAAAGTCAAAATAAGCATTTTAGAAGTGTGTATTTTTACATCATAAAACAGTTTACAAAAGCTAATGCTGAATGTTAGGTGCACAGGTCCCCATCTGACAACTGCACACTGCAAATTCAGGTGCATTCCTAATTTCTTCCTTTACTGCACTTAATTATTTCCTAAGACAAAAATTAGCATTAGAGTATGGTGCCTGCTCCAATACTATTACTTGAAAGTTTTAAAAGGAAAATACATCATTTTGCTAAGGCAATTATTTCCATTTCCATATCAAAGGCATTAGAAAATATGTTTTCCTATTTCCATTTTTACTTGTAATAGTGATGTGATTTCTGTGACAGGTGGATTTTCATTAATGTTGACATCTGCATGGTGTCAACTTATGATACTAATAATGACATGGTTTCAGCTTTCTTGTGTAACTTTTCTGTTGCTTCCAAAAGAGTAGTATTCTGCATACAGCCTGGAACTATGAAGACTGTAACACTAAAGCTGATGTTTGCTCATAATTTGTATATGTTGTTGCTCTTTGTTGATAATAGAAATCCATATTAAGCACTGTTTTGTTCTGTGACTTCAGAAATCCTACCTTGTTTAAAAAAGTAGTGTTTGATTTTGAGAAATGTACTTTTGTGCTGGAATAGTCAGCAGAGAGGGAAAATTACATTTTATCTTCACAGTGTAAACTGCACAGGTGCTTGCATTTGTGAAGCTTTGAAGAAATTAATGAGACTGTTTAAAAAAAAAAAAAATCTGAAGTTTGAAGTGTCCCTTATTGAACTGGGAAGCTCATTTTGATTGTACTCGGGGGAAGAGTGAGACAAAACACATCAATAAAATAGGTGGACTTGTAGATATTTGGGGAAGTTCTGCAGAGTGTTTGCACTATTTATTTCTTGTGGCTTTCCTGTTAGAAAGTAATAGCTAGGGATTATTAACCTAAAAAAACCCATAGAAATTATTTAAAGAAAGAAAAGCAATCAATCAACTGCCATGCTTGCACTACTTCTCTAGGGAAGTCTGGCTGTATCTTTGAAAGTGGGATACTTTGCAAAGCTGCCCTTTGAGAGGAATTAAGACAATCAAGAGGCATTGAGGGGAAAAACATTCTAACCAAGGACTTTGTATTTCTTTTATGAGTTTGCCCTTCACTGTAGTGAACCATTCATTTTTCTCTTCTCCTACATAACATAATGAAGGGCTATGACAAGGGGTGGGGAGAGGAGGAGCACTCTAAAAGCAATACTTAAAGGCAGTGAAAATACTGCTTGTGCAAAGGAAGGTTAATGGAGGCCTGCTGAGCAGTCCTAAGCAGGGAAGGAGTAGGCAGTGCAATTGCAGCTGGCAGGTGGATCTGTTAAATTAGCAGCTGAAGTAACTGAAATGCACGTATTTGTTCTTACTGAGATTATGCTCGAGATAGAATGTTGTTACTAGTTTAACTCTACAGACTAAGTTAAAACTAAAAGCCAAAACACCTTGTAGGGAGTACAAGAGCAACAAATGGAAAATGAATGTGCTTCTTGTCTGTACCTTGTTTTGCTTGCAAAAATGTCTTATGCCCTTATGTGCAGGCCTGTGTAGTTGCTTGATGAGGGTCAGTGCTTGACTTGAAGTTTGTAGTGGTGCTGCAAGTGGGTTTCTTCTTTGTTTGAGGACTTTTTCAACCTGACTGCCAGGAAAGCTAAAGCATGCCAAACTAACCAGGAAAATACATTTTTTATCTTCTTTATCTCAAGGACCTATGCATCCTAGGCTTTCAATCACTCTCTTGTGGTTGAACATAACTAAAATGAGGCTTTGTTTTTCAGGGAGCAAACTACTGCACTGCCATCTCCTTGTGAGTGGGACTGGGAGCACAGCTGTACGTCACGCCCAAAGTATTTCACTGCAAACAGACCAAAACTCTCAAAAATCAACATTCCTCACAAGGTACTGGTCAAGTTATGTCAGCTAGAACCACTCGTTAGTTTGAAACGATGACTTTTTTGTTGTGTGCTGTTCATACTGTTCATTCTTTTAGCTATGTTTTTAAAAGGTTTTATGAAGCTGTATTCAACAGAGTAATACACTGAAACAGAACTAGTTCTTCTGGATTTCTCTAGTGACTTAGAATGAACGCTTGCAGGTTTACTGAGAGCTTGAAGTATTAGAGGACTGAAGAGGAGAGTGCAGTGAACTGTGCTAAAATTATGCAAATAATCATGCACAGGCCTGGACTAGTTCATCTCTTTGCTAAACACTGGAAAAGAATGGATTTACTCTATGGTGGTGTCTTCAGCAAATATAAATATTCAGCATGTGTTTGGGAATAAATAAATTACTTTAAGCACAAAGGGTAGTCTTAATTGGAATTGCTTAGTGACTCAGTACTGAGTCCTGAGAAACAAAATAGCCACACACAGAGTTGTTTTGCTGCATATTTTTGTATAGTACATCATTAAGGTAAATATAACCCTTTTGGCGTCTTAACCTTGCAATTGAAACCTTTTCTCAAGTACTTTCAGAGAGAATATGAAAAGTGTGCTTAGTTTTTTTCTAAGTCATTAGCAGACGGCAATTTTCAGAGAGCAAATGATCTTTATGCTGGTATTGCAAAACCAAAAAATTGACTTACCTTTCATTGTTGAGAGCTGGATAGCTACAGGTGGTTTAGTAATTTATTTGGAGATGTGGGCATCACCTGCGACATACTTGCTCTGAAAGTAATGCCTTCTATTTATTGCCTTGGAAACTACAAAAAGAACACAATAACACTATTTGGTAGAGTAAATACAAAACACTATTTTTCAACATAGCCACCACTATTAGCCATGCATTTTTGCCAGCAATAAGCAAGGGTCTGCGTGCCATGCTCATAAAAATCTGCATGGCCATAATGTTGTTTGTCTTGTCCACTGCTTCACTGCACTCGCATCCAGTGTTTGGTCTCCATAGACATTCAGCAAGTGTTGATAAATGTATTGGGTGCCATTTTTTTTCTGCATGGAGGAATTCGGGGACAGACTTTTGCCTCATCTGCACTTCTGTGCCAGATGTTGTTCTATCAGAGCGCCCCTCTGCTGCCATCTGTCACACTCAACAACATGTAATGGAATGCCAGTGGGAAAGACCATCCTTCACTTCCATAGCACCAACATCCACCTCTGACGTTGTGATCCAACGTAATCAAATAGGAGGCAGTTTTTTCAGAGCAGCCCTGGTATTTAACCAAAGCTAATAGGACTCTAAGGACATCATAGAAAGACCTAGAAAAAAATAAGATGCCATTATGTAAACTAACAAACAAGCAAGCCCCGTTTTCATATGAAGCTGTGTGGCAGAAAATATGATGTGAGAATGTCAGTGAAGTGTAGATAGGCAGGAATGTCCCAGCTGGGCTCTCTAGGAGACTCTCTAGCAATGTTTCCCTGAGTTGAAAAACTCTGATGTTGTATGGTATGCAAACCTTACATCAGGAAATTTGGAAAGTTGGAAGCCCAACTCAGTGCAGAATTCCAGGGTCACTTCTGTATCAAAAAAAGATGCTTCAGAAGTTATGTCCAGCCACCCAGCTTGAGACCTACCAAGAACTGTGGGACTGGAAAGTGAATGTTTAAGGTGGCTGAGTCCACCTGCTTTCTCTCTGATGGCTCTGCTCTCTATTCTCCCATGCACTCTCAGCAGCCAATTTCAATCTTTCCTGAAGAGGAACACCCAGAAGTAGGTAGAATACCCTAAACTGAGGCCCTTCTATTACTGAATAAGGCTGCAGAACAGCTTTGCTTCTTAACAACTCTTGAGCAGGAAGTTTGCCAGTATAAATAAGGTAGGAAGAGTTAGAACTTTGACGCAGAGCTTTAGTTCTCTGAAGGACTAATTTGGCTGAAGATCTGCTATCTGGAGCTTTGTTTTTTAAATTAACCTCTGTATTAGGAAAAAAGCAAAAGAATGTTCTGCATATATTACATTTTGTGCATTCTCCATATTCTTTTGTGTTTTCTAAATATGTGTAATGATCTCCATGAGAAGGGGATCTTTGTTTTCTTTACTGTGCTATCTTAATTAATTTTTGCTGTAAGAATTTATTGCCATGTTAGTTCTTGATGTTGTAAGGGCTTGTCTTGTTGTGACGGAGGGCAAATAAATTGCTAAAAGCAGAATATTGTTTCACTGCTTTGCAAGGAGCAGTCAAGATACATAAAGGAAAGAGGAATGACTGAGATATAAGCAAAATGAATGTTCAACCAGATTGTGCCCATGTCACTCCTGCATAAAATGGACACATTCAGTGTAAAGAAGAAGTCCTTTGAGTGTTGATAAGCATTTTTGTATGATATTTGAGGAGAAAAATAGTGCAAGCTTGTTGGGATTTGTTTAAAATATTTTTTTTTTCTAATAAGTTTTTATAGCTTCTAAAATTAATCGACCAGAAATTGTTTGTGCTAGAGGAAGTTGTTTCAATTTTACTTACTCTGCTGGTGAATTGATTTTTATCATGAGAGAAAGGATTTAGCAAGGACTCTACCCAAGATCTCTGTCTCACGTTCTAAATTATGTCCCACTATTACATTTGGTTATCAATGTACTTTTCAAGACGCTGCTATGCAATTTAAAACATTGCAGATGTGCTTAGAATAAACATGTTTAGGATAGATGCTATATTCATTAATTCTCTCCTCTATCATTTTTTCTTACTGCTGGTTATCAAACACTTCAGCTTGTTCCTGTGCTGCTGTTTTATTTTTTATTTTATTTATCAAAAAATAAAGGGAAAGAGCGTAGAGGTGCTACTTCATGCTAATCTATATACTAATTCACACTTTCTTTGCAAAGATACAACATGAAACAAGCAGTGTCTTGATGTTTTTCAGCAGAATAAAGCTTTGAAATCTTTGTGTGAGATCTGGTGGACTTGATGACCAAAAAGATTCAAAACTATTGAGAAAAATATGCTGTATATTTCTGTAGTGCTCTTCCTAAGTTGTCCATCATATAGCATCTGTCACAATATACTTTTCCCTACTTTTGTGAATACAAAATTTAGTAGCTTACAATTGTGCAGCTTTGCACTCCAAATCTAACAACATCATTTGTGAAATATCTAAGTCTGTATGCCTAGGTTGTGAAAAAATAATAATAATAATAATAATAATAAAAAAATAAAAATCCATCGTAAAGGTCAAAGGTTGTGGCCAGGTGAGCCATAAAGAGGTTTGTACTGGTTATTACCTCAGGAAAAAATACATGTGAAATATGGGATATGTTTATGCTGGGCTGCGTTTCTTACAGGGAAGCCTTTGCTTTCTAAATTAACGAATTGGGAATTACTGTTTTGAGATATGGAAAGCGTGTATATTTGTGCATCCTTACAGGGCAGTATTACAGACCCTACAAGCTGCATATCAAAATCTTTTTGCAGTGTATCACAAGCTGTACTTTGGAAGCAGAAGCAAGGGGCAAGATGATGAATGTGGTGCCCTGCTTTAAGCTGGCGCTTGCACTTGAGTCATGTGGTAACTCAAGAATGATGGAATCATTCATGTGGAAAGGAACCTGAGGAGGCTTCTAGCCCAACCTCTTTACCAGCCTAAGGTCACTGGGTTGTTTGGGCATTTACCCAGCTGGGGTTCAGAAAGCTCCAAGGTCAGAGACACTAGAGCTTCTCTGGATCTGTGACTTGGCTATTTCCATGGGGAAAAAAAGAATAATTCTCCTTACATCCCTTCTGAGCCTCTCATTTGACCTTTTGTCTACACTCTCCCGTTCTCCCGCTGTGCACTGCATGAAGATGCGGTCCTGCATCTCCTTGATTCCTCTTGTCAATGTTGATGGGCTGCTGTTAGGTTCCCTTGCAGCTATCCTTTCTCCAGGCTGAACAACCCCCCCGTTGCAGGGTTGGTGCTCCAGTCCCCACCATCTTGGTGGTCCTCCGTTGGATTCACATCTGCATGCAGTAACAGCTGTGAAGACAGCATCTGTGGCTTTTCCAGTCCCTCCAAGACAGATGAAGATTACTGTATCATTCATGTGCCTTCACTGCAGTGTAGAACTGTGTGTTTGAACCATGTATATGCCCTGAGCAGTTAGAGAGTCAGAGGTCAGCTACCTACACATCCTCTAATCCTGAAGGTTGAGTCTGTTAGGGCCTAGCTCGCTATATAAAGAAGCGGACATAATTGGATTTATGAATCATTTAAGTAGGACTGGGCTGACTGATTTGTGTAATTTTGCAGGCTGATGACAAAAAGCAGTCTAAAGAGATTGGAAGGGAAAGGGGAAGGGCTGTTTGGCAATGTGGTATTTTTAGAAACTTCTACAGTGCTTTTCATCAGAAGATCATGAACACTTGCTTAGAAACAAAAGCAATACTGATGTGTGTACTCAGAGAGTTGAACAGCTGGACTAGCAATCTACATTCCTGGTCTCTTACTGAAATCATTTCCCAGTTCTGTGAAGTTACTAGTGCTGCCTAGCACTGTAAGTGTTAAATTCCGGTATTTAAAAAATAACTAAATAGGTGTGATTGTCAGAGGAACTAGTTAAGAGGCTCAATTGGAGGTGTGGATGGGACAGGAAGAAGCAGAGAGCACCTGCATCACAACACTGTGCTGCAGGCAAATTGCTGAACAGCCTTGCTTGGTTGGCAGGAGTAACCATGAGAGGCAACTGTATGTTTAAATTTGCATCCCATAGTGCAGTGTTAAATGGATAGTGCCTCTGCTGGTGCTGGAAATAGCACAACGACTGCATTCACAGTAGCATTAGATAATTTATGGAATACATCTGAGGTTTTACATGACTCAAGCTGCAACAAGCTCTCTCTTTAAATTAACTAATCTACATGGACTGCCGCAAACGGTGTCTGCTTGATTAGATAAGCTGAAAGACTCAATGGGAAATGTTATCACTGGAAATTATTTGCTTGCATGCATGCATCTTACACAGTTAAT